GAGCTAATCTGAAACCCCCCCCTCTCTCTCTCTGTGAAAGCCCTCCAAATTGAAGAGAGTCAAATATAACCTAAACACCAGCATTTAGATTACGGCAGGTCTCAGATACCAATGTATCGGTATTCAGAAAACCAACGGGCACATTCCGCATGAAACTTTGATCTAAACAAGATTATGAATTAACTAACCTAAATCATGTATTGCCTTCATATTCGAAATATCCACATCGAACACTAACGATAATTTTCCCTAATAAACAAAACAAGGAAAAAGAAAGAAAAACCTCCAAGCTGCGGAAATCCAGTGCCTCAAATCGCTCCATAATATCATTCAATCTACCAGGCGTCCCTATCAACAAATTCGCCCCTTCCTTTTCTATTTTAACCATACCAGCTTTCACTTCAGCTCCTCCCACTAAAAGTATCGGCCTCACTTTCGATAATGTCGAAATAAATGGCTCTGCCACCTTAAATATCTGAGATGCCAACTCCCTTGTAGGAGAAATTATCATCCCCATTACCTGCAATTAATCAAAACAACAATATAACCACCAACTATACACATACCACGTGTTCCCCTAATGAAAATGTTAGAATTGGACAAACAGCCAAAAATCATTTATAAAGAGAATTAGATAAACAAATTAGTGATTATTATGTTCTTATAAATACTCCGTCCACCTCAGATCACATATGAATTGATCAAAAAGTAAGCTATGCATTTGAGTTAATTAGGTACATTTCACTTAATTAGATACCTGGTGTGGCTTGGGGGGGCCTTGGTGGTGGAGAATCTCGACGAGGGGGATAACAAAGGCTAGGGTTTCCGGGAACCAGTGGCGGCGTCCACAGCAACGTCCTTTAAGTTGCATAGCAAGGGCATGGTGGCGGCCTGAACAGGGGTGCAGAACTTGAAACTGGACAAGGTTAGTGTTTCGAGAACCGCTTCGGAGAGTGGAGGGTTTAAGTCGGAGAATCTGGTGGTTGTCAATGCTTTGTTTGGGTTTTCGTCCCCAGCCGCCATAGTATTCGCTTTACTCGCCTGCACTCTACAACAGATTGTTAAATGTAAAATACGGTATTGTCCAATATATATATTAATAATTATTTGCATATATATTTTACTGAAATTATTTTAAAAGAAGTGTTCATGGAAGATGGTAATATATAATTATTTTCATGTCTTATATCACGAAATTTAATGGGATTAATTTGTCTTCAATAATATTTAATACTTAGCTTTAGAAGCTTATAATTATTTATGTAGATGTTTCACAGTAAAACAAAAAATAAATGAAAAGGCAACGCTATAAGAAACTTACAATATTATTTCGTACAATATCTTAAAACATACTAAATATAAAAACAATATTTTTTTACAATATCCTAAAGCATACTAAATATAATTGCAGGTTCTTAGAAATAACAATTTTAAAAATGATTTCTTTTCATAGATACTGCTTTAAAAAAAAAAAAAAAAAAAAAAAAAAAAAAAAAAAAAAAAAAAAAAAACCATCCCCTTATATATAATTTTAGAACGTGTTGAGTCTAGGGATGGCAAAGGGTGAGGGTTGGACCGGGTAGTTACAGACCCAGACTTGGATCGCACACCTGCCCCACGGACTCGACCTAGCCTGTGAACCACGACGGGCCCAACAGGTTGGGCCAGGGCAGGCCTTCCCACCCTACCCCTACCCTTTTTTTTACCCCATACTGTCTATATAACAAATCATCAACCACATATAATCATTAGCACACGAATAAAGACTATGCAACAACAATTATCATATTTCCATATCCATATTCAAAAATCTGTCTCTTTTTCTCAAAATTTCCTATAATTGCTTTTAAATTTACAACTGAACAGAATTACTGAAGGTTCAAGCTCAAGCAATAACTCCTACGGCATTCTAATATAATCGTGTCTAGAAAAGCCATTCATCACATAATTTACCTCAAGAAAGTGTGAGCTGAAAGTAAGAACAAATGCACTCAAAGAAATCAATTCAACTTACATAATTAAAAGAAATCACCTCAAACCCATAACATGTTTCCACAAAAATTTAGGCTAATTATACAAACACCTCACCAATCACCTTTGGGCCAAACTACTAAAGAAGAAATATCAAATGAAGAAACAATAGAAGCACCAAGTGTTTAAACCAGCTATTAACCTCGGCAGATGAAGTGAAGAACAAGCCCAATTGCAATTGAAGTTCTAATCAAGCTAATTCATAATCTCCAATGAAAAATCAATTACCTCTAAAGCGAGAGTCGAATAGGAAGCTGCGACTGAGACCAGGTTGTGGGGTCGTAAAGCTGCGGCAACTGAAGGAGAATAAGGTGTAGGCGCTGAGGCGAGGCGGGGCGGCTGAGATGGATGAAGAAGAAATGGCGTGAGAGGTGCACTGTTAATGAGAGCTGAAGCGTGAGTGCCGAGCGGGATGAAGGAGAACGGTGGGAATGAGAAGGGAACTGTGAACAAAACCCTAATCATAATCAATTTTACTCTTTTACTTTAAAGATAGAATAGAATACCATTCCAAACATCTACTATGCATATAAAACAAGGTTTGATATGATAAAACTACTTAAAATTAACAAAATTCGTTCTAAATGCAAAGAGATCTCTACTTGGGATTAAAATCAATCACACTTAATAAGGGTCTTAAATATGACTCCTAATAAGAAACCTACTTACCATTCTATAAAATCCATATATATAAATTTTGTACCAAATAAAACACTAGAATAATAAGTACAATAAATAACAATAAAATAAAAGAAAAAAATAATTGAAGAACAGACGTCAAGCGATCATGCTTGTCCAGAAAAGTCAACGCAATCTCGTCTCCATCATTATTTCCCTCCAGAGAAAGAGTAGCCCTCAAATCTGGTGCAATCTCGCCTCCATAGCTATTATCACCATGGTAAGGCACCAAGTGTTTAACATTATACGCGTTCAATTTCGTATGTCAGACGACACTTTTGTGCAGCTGCCGCTGTTGGGGATACGCCGAGACTAAGAGAACTCACGACCTCCAATGGGATCCACGCTCACCTGTCGTAGAATAACACTGGATATCGCAGTCTACCAATAAATCGACCAGTCTGCCCATTGCTACTTGCCCCGATTTTTCACAAACGATTCCTAATGGAGATTCGTGACATCTATTTCTACCAAAGCCTTCAATTGCGAGCTCAAGTCTCACACCTGAACATGTCTCGTATTTGCCCAATAAGCACAAATATGAGGATTTAGGCGTAGGTTCAAGTCTCCTACATGAGGGACATTGGGTAACTACAAAATTGCGAAGCCCGAATCACCATCGTAGTCCTCATCATTCTCGGCACTATCACTACTTTCAATGTCAATGTCAGAACCATCATTGTCAATCTTAAATATTCCAATATTATTAAAGAAAGACTTTTATGCTTGTGTGTCATGCAACATAATAAACTGTATGTGGAAACGCAGTACGCACCAATTTCGACGAATCTTGTAATATATAAAATAAAAACTCAAACAAGACCACCCAATATGAAAAGCATGAAAAGAAATATAAGCAGAAGGGTCACAATGAAGCTCCTCCGCTTGTTGCTCCCCTCCAGTTTCAAATTTCTCAGGCACATGATCCTCGTAATCCACTGACGCCACATGATTCTCTTCGTGAAAAATAGGTGGACCCTGATACTCAATCAACCCATGCTCATCAAGATCTCGACGGTTTTTAGGCCCCAAAAAATTCAAGGATCTCGACCCAGAAGGACGACATCCAACACCGATCATTGGTGAAGTGACCTTCGTTTTGCACCGCCATGGTACCGAACGAATTTACATTGGAACTTCCTCAAGATCATTCTCATCGAAGAACGATGGAGGTGATCGAGAGGCGGGCGCCTCACGAGAACCCCGACCGCGTCCACCGCGCACCTACCCCAGCTGCCACATATTTCGTTCGATGCGCGATTTGTACGTTTGCCATAGTCAGGGGCGACATGAGTCAGCCCTCCTCGACCATCGTAGTAAGAACCGCGACTTGGCGGCTCTTGCCTCGATCGCGACATCGCGCCTATCATCTGCAACATCGTTCCATTTGGGCGACATGGCATAAGAATCGTACTGGTTTGTTGATACGAGCTGACGTAGTGAAAGTGTAAACGAACGAGAGAATTAAGAGAGAACTCTCGTAGTTTCTTATTAATCAAAATCAACCACCCTGAAACAATAAATATGAGTCTTAAATAGGACTCATATAAAACCTATTTACCCCAATGCTCCAGGCCGGGCCGAGTCGAGACAATCCGGGCATGTCTCTTTTTGTCATCTTTAAATAGAATATTACTCTTATATTGGGTGTGAGTGGACTAGAACCTAAGAACACATAATTCTAAGAAAACTCTTTATTTAACATCACTTCAAGCTTCCTGTTGTGCCTTTAAATACACTAATCCCTCATTATTTTGGCCACCCCATCTCAGAACAGGAAGAGAACAAGAGTTTTCTTTTTGTTAGAATATTTGAGAGCTTAAGGAAAGAGAGAAAAAAAAGTAGTGTCTAAAAACACAAAATCTTCTTCTTTCTTTCTCCAAAGCAATCGAGCAAGTCCTTAAGTGAAGGATTCTGTAGTTTGTTGCCCACGAAGACAATCAGAGACAGTGTTGGGAATATAACAGAAGATCCCGAGGTCTATGAGGCTAGTACATCTGATCTCGTAGACCATGTAAGTTGACTTAGAGTATGTAAAAAAATTTAAAACGTAAGCATTCATTCCTAGTTTCTTAGACCATGTAAGTTGACTTAGAGTATGTAAAAAAATTTAAAACGTAAGCATTCATTCCTAGTTTCTAGATCCACCGCGCTTCTGATTATATGGTAGAAAATTCGAATTAGTATAATTATCTGACATTTTTAATAGAAGCCAACTAGTGGTGCACTAATGTTGGGGCTTTTTGTCAACTTTTCATTTGATTCCATTGAAAAGGTTTAACTAAACAACCATATATAACGTCATTAAATTATTTGTTATTGGCCTTCACAATTTCAAACTCAACATAAATATTGAACATTTTTTGTAAGATATAATAGAGAAAATTACACCATTTAGCTTACATTTTCATTTGGTTTTACATTTACAACTCTTTTTTTTATTATTTTAAATATAATAACTTTTATATTTTGTAAAATATTTTTTTAAAGAGCTCGAGAAACCCTTCCGTCCCCAAATCGCCAAATCGTCGTAACCCTAGCCTCCGTCCATTTCTACTGGTTGCGCCTCCTTCGGTTGTCGTCCAGGTTGTCGGAGGACGGCTCTCCACTGCACAACCATAGTCTGGTCGCGAGGCTCTTCTTCTCCCGTCGTCTACTTAGGGGTGCGGGTGGGTTTTGACAGGTCGCTCGGACCTATGTGAAGACCATCGGATTCCCGGAGTAGGAGAGAATGATGGAGTAATACGCAAGGAGATGGTGGTGGCTCGGACCGCCTGCGCTCTCGTCGGGTTGTGGCGACTCATCTCACTG